AGACCCTAAACCATGAATCCTTAAATATCCTAAGCCCTAAATCCCTAACCCCCGAACCGTAAACCCCGAACCCGTAAACCCCTAATCCCTAAACCCTTAAACCCTTAATCCCTGAACCCCAAACCCTAAGCCTACGCCTGGACCCTGCACCTGTTTCTGGTGGAGGACTGACATGCTGCGACGGCGCTGTGCCCAGAGCCATGCTGAGCTGGCGGCTGCACAGCAGGAGGGGTAAGGGTTCAGGGTTTCAGGGGTTAAGGGGTTTAGGGATTGGTGTTTTGGTTTTATGGGTTAGGGGGTTTAGGGATTGGGCTTTAGGGAGGGCCATTTTTTTTCAAGGTTGGCTCCACCCTGGTTTGGCTCACCCCTTTGGGGATTTCCTACAGTTTCCAATTCCAAAGGCTGCACATATTGTAAGCTACAGCATTGAAAGCTTCTCGCGAACAATTCGCCAGCTCTGGCCTCCGAGCTTTCTGGGTTTCCGGCTTTTCGGTGGTTTCGTGGCTTTTAGCTTCTTGGCTTCCCGGCTTCAGTGGCTCTTGGCTTCTTGGCTTCTCGGCTTCGGTAGCTTCTTGGCTTCAGTGGCTCTTGGCTTCTTGGCTTCTTGGCTTTGGCGGTTTCTTGGCTTCTCGGCTTCAGTGGCTTCAGTGGCTTCGTGGCTTCTTGGCTTCCCGGCTTCTTGGCTTCTCGGCTTCAGTGGCTTCGTGGCTCTTGGCTTCTCGGCTTCGGTGGCTTCTTGGCTTCGCAGGACTCAAACAACCTCATTTCCAGGATCGCTACATGAGTCTAAGCCCGAACTCAACGAAGGCCTTAACTAAGATCACAAAAGACCACATAAATATGAGGAACCTAGTCATAAATATTTCTAGACTCTCCCACTTTGTGGGCCCAGAATCTGAAACATAGGATTGTTACGTTTACGTCTGTTGTTAGGCCCTTGCTAACGACATGTCATTAAGTTCCAGCGTGTAATGCCGCAGCAAGAAGCGATCAAAGTTCATGGTTTTGGGCTAAGATTTAAATCTCAGGGATACCTTTTTGCGCGGGCAGTCCCCATCATTCTGAGTCCCGTTGTGAGACCCATCTTGAAGACGCTTTTTGAGAAGGGAACCAACATACTGTATCGCAAAAGCTTTCCGCCCTGAGACGGTTGAGGATGTAGAGCAGGTTTCACCACAGTGTGTTTCCCGAAGAGTGATGAATTGCATCGAGGGCTTGTAAGCAACTACATAACCCCCTTGGAGGAGTTTAGACTGTAGTACACATAGTGTAATGCAGTGGTTGAGGCAGATCCTGCACAACTTCTAGTAGGACACACGCATGGTTTAGGGCTTAGGGTTTGGAGAATCCCTAAACCCTAAACCCTAAACCTTAAACCCTAAACTCTAAACCCTAAACCTTAAACCCTATGAGTATATCCGGCGAGCCTAGACCCCTAAAGGCTTGGCCTGCCTGGTAAGAGGTACGATTGCAGTTGTCTTTGGGCCCCCCCGCTGGTTTAGGGAATTAGGGTTTAGGGTTTAGGGTTTAGGGTAGGGTGTTTAGGGTTTCAAGCTTTTCTAAGGGGATATATTCCATGGTAATAGGGTCCAAACCAAAGGGCAAAGCCCTGAAGGTGCAAAGGACAACTCCTTGAAATATGTTCCTTATCATTTTCCATTTTATTTTCCATTTGAATCTCCATTACAGGGGGTACTAGCCATAAACCCTAAACCCTAAAACCCTGAAACCCTAAACTATATGGGGGTATATTGGGAGGACAAGCGCAGGATGGAGGCGGAGTATGAATCTGTGGCAAAGCAGGACAGCAGTATGCAACCCTAAACCCTGAACTCTAAACCCTTCCGTGTTCAGGGTTTAGGGTCTGGTTTAGGGTCCCAATCTCAAATAGGGGCTATCTTGAGATATATTCAGGGCTGGACACTTTCATATTCGAATGATTTTCCAACTGCTATTTAGTAGGGGGCAGTATGCAAGGCTGAATTCTGATGAATTCATGTGGGGGTTCTCTAATCATGGATACCTCAGCGACCATAAGGAGATCTACAGGATGTGGGGTTCCCAATAAAGAATGCTTTGGGGCCAACCTTAAAAGGCACCCTGACGCGGTTCAGGGTTAAGGGCTGAGGGCTAGGGCTTAGGCGGGTATAGGGGTTTACGAACCTTGAATAGGCGATTAAAATGGAGGCATGGAGTCCTGTTGTAGTTCCTAAGTAACAGCCTCCCAAGCCCCCATCACCAGCCTACTAATTGCGTATCCACGTGGTACTTTCCCAAAAATAAAGTGGCCCCCAGTATGGACCCAAAATACAATAATCCATATTATGGGGACCCCCCCAAAAAAGTACCCTTTTGGGAAAGCCTAAACGCTAAACTCTATAAATCCCTATAGAAATCCTATATAGCCCCTAATTTTGGCAAACCTCCAAGTAAGCCCCAAACCCTAAACCTTAGACCCTAAACCCTCAACCCTAATTTTGGGAAACCCCCGAGTAAGCCCTTTCCATCCCTTTAAGCCCATGGGCCCCCAACCTTGCCGTCACGGGCTCTATTTGGAGGTTCGTCAGACGTGGCAAGTACTTGTAGATGATGGAAAAATCACCCTGTAGTCCCCCTTAAGTAGATAGAATATAGTTTTGGGTATATTATAATAAGATCCCCATATCTCCCATATTCTATCTACTTAAGGGGGACTATATCCACAACCCCTTAACCTGATTTATAGGCCCAAGTCTAGGTGGCTACTCAGTCCCACGAACCTTCAGTTGGGAACGTCATGTGGGGTCGCGTGTACTGAAACATCAACCGGCAAATGTCCTCCTTTGAAGGAATCCTTTTCGGAAGGACTGTAGGATTCCGACTCACTCTATACCGCTTTAGATAATACATTCACATCCAAGCTCTGCAAGCACAAGTAAAATTAGAAGTTGAAGTAAACCAGCTGACGTACGGTGGTCGCCGTGGGATCGAGGTGGCATCAGAGGTTCCGAAATCATTTATCCGCGTGCTTCCTAGCCGCAAAGGCCTTCGGTCTAGTGGCAAGGGCACGGTCTGCAGTTTTCTGGCACTCATTGCGTTAGGATCCAGCGACCTAAGTAACGATTATAAGGGTTTCTCGTTTGAAACCTTACTATCTAGCTTCTTGGGCCCATATAGTTGCATTGTCCACGTCAACGACTGCGAAGTGGCTGATGGCAGATGTCATGGACCTGGACGTATCTCACGTTAACTGTCCAAGTACCCAAACAAAGGGGCTTAATGCTCCAAATGAAAAATACTGAAATCCGGATGTCCCTATTCCTTGGGTACTTAGAATTTCTTGGACATCACGCCCACACAGCCTTTGACGAGCGTACCTATCAATCGGCTTTTGGCCTGAGCTACACCACTGTCACATGAGTGTTTAGCGTCTGGGGCTTGGGCCAAAGGTCCGTCAGGCATGTAGACCGAAGGTCTCCACGATCTTTTTCGTACGGAGCCCTGTTCGTGGCTCAGGAGCTCAGGGTCAGAAATCTGGGAGTGTTTCTGCGGATGGCTTGCTTGAGTCCTTAGCTCTAAATCCCCTGAACCCTACCTTATTCCACCCCTAAGCCCAATGTGAGCCCTTGTGTTCAATCTCTAGCCTAAACTCCCCAGACCCTACTTAAAAAGGGGGGTAGGGGAGATTAGTAAGTATAGACTTATGACCCCTATAGAGCATATCATGACAGTTATCCCCATGCTCAACCTACTTGCTACGTGCCCCTGACCTTGGAAGTAAATGAATGCCTAGATCGCGCCTCAAAAGCACAAAATGTACTTGGACCCGTGACCCTTTGGCAGGAGCAGCTCAGCTTTCGCGCGCTTGAGCAGGCTCTGCATGTCCCATTCAAGTTTGGGGTCACAGGCGCTTTTTGAAGGACCCCTTTCTTGGCTCCTTGTTCGAGCTTTGTTTGGTAGGTTCTGAAACTCGCTTCACAGAGCATAGGTCTCAAAAAACAGCAATGGTACTTGCAGCCCTTGGTTCACTAGTGCGTGCTTCAGGGTATAACTGTTTAGGATGTGAGCATCTGGATGTTGCGATAAATGATTTACCTCGGCCTGCCAATGTAGTACGTGTTTGAGAGGTGCCTGGTAAGAGTCATCATAGCCCAAAGCCGCATCAAACCCAAAACAGGCACAACATAGGAGGGTCCAGGTAGGCTGTAGATTATTTGTTTCAGTATTGAAGGGCTAGGGCGTTCTGAGAAGAACACTGCCAACGCCTGGCAACTATGCTTAGAGGCTCGTTTTACTACTTGTCCCTCACTATTTATAACCCAAATACTCCCGCGTCAACCCCTCCTCACCGTACCTACTTACGAAGACTCGCGAGGCCTCCAAATATTTTGTGTTATAGGCTTTCTCAGCGGCCAGAAGCCTCTGCCAAGCTTGCAGCACATGTTTGTGTTCCTTGGTTCATCTGTGGTTTCAGTGGAACGGGTCGAACTCTTCAACCATAATCCCAAAATGCAACATGCATGTAATGGACTTTCGTATTTAGATGTATGCAAAGTTTGCACCGTACGTGTCCATTAAGAAGCCCCATCACTTCTTTGTATCCACCATGCTCACCTGCCCCATTTTCAGAAAGCTCTGACCTTCGATCCCTAAGCCTCATAAGCCCCACATATGAGCCATTGTCTAAACTCCTTAAAAGGGGTTATATAAGGGCTTCTATAGGGGACTACCATAGGGGATCTTAAGGGGGATGCTCGGAGTTTACACTATAGCTCATATGATCTTAGAGTTTACGGTTTAATCTTATATGATCTTCCTCTTAGTAAACAGACGAATAATAGATGAGAATCTGTGCGCCTTTTTACATGCGCCAGTGCCTAAGTGCTTGGCAGTTTCCATATCCAGCGGGACCCCAATATAGACCTCAAAATTACTATCCGTATTACGGAACCCACCACCCCCCCCGCCCCCCCACCACCCCACCCGCCAAAAAAGACAGATTAAAAATAAACTTACATCCCAAAACCTTAATTTCCTTGTCAGAGGCCGAGCAGCGCCTACAAGACGCAGAGGAGAACCAGGCAGCTCGCAACTCCCCACGGGTCAGGGTTTAGGGGTTTTAGGG